AAACAGTTACCGTTAGCAGCATCAGTACTGGGTAATGGGTGGATTTTGTCGCATTGTCTCACAACAACAGCCATGTGGCTGTGTCCTTTCTGGAACTCGTTCAATATATCATATAACGGTAAGGTTTCTGGAACTCTAGAGTGCATGAGTTAAAAACAAACAAGAAAAAAAAAGAATAAGCAATCCACTATTAAAGCACATTCAGCAAGTGTTGATTTGTTGAGATTTGGAAATCAAACTCTAATAGGTAAAGATACCTTGGGATCATTCGTATCGTCACATTCTTGACTAGTATTTCTTCGTCTGGGTTGATTGTCAATAAGTTCTTCACCTGAAGGCAAATTTAGTAATCGTTAGATGCAGATACATCAGACAAAGTTACTCCACTTAGCCACTAAGATTCTTCAACAGCTTGGAAAATGATTTTAACGTATCCTGAGATAGAAATTTACCAAAACGAGTCCAATTATGTTGGTACGTTGCTCATAGTATACTGGGACCCTGCTATGACCTTTCTCAAGAATCAAATTCATCAAATCCCTGGTAAAGAACAAAAAGAAACTAAGTTTAGAATGAGTTACATAATTGAGGAATCTGCGCAGAGAGGTTGAACAAACCAAGACCTGTCTAGTTTGGCACTAATATCAATCACAAAAGTGTCAGAGATTGGTGTCATTGCATCTTTGGCCATTTTCCCAGATAATTCAAGAGCTCCAGCAATGATTGTTGTCTCATCATGCGTCAACTCTCCACCTTTACCAGCCTGAAAGAAATGAGGTTCTAAATTACATAACGTAAAAAAGCATATATAGAAATTTGTGATCTTGAAGATGAGGGATACAAAACGAATGGCATAAAACTCAAGTTTGAGATATCAGAGAAATCGAAGACATGCCTCATTCCCATGCAAATCCACAAGTGTTTTTAGTTCAGCTCTTCGGAAAAGGGCTACACGACCATGGCCCAGTAGAAAGTCCAGCAGCTGGAATATATACATCAGAAACAAAGAATTTATCAGAACGAAGACCATTTGGGCAAGACACTCGCTTTTGGGAGCTTTTCTCACAACATAAAAGAGCAATACAAGATATTTGGCATTGCATTTTATCACCTTACTAATCGGCCATGCAACGGGAAAGCAGATCCAGACTAGAACACGGACAAATGGTGCCACTGTCGCACCAATTGCCAAACCATGACGGGAACAAACTGACTGAGGTATGATCTGCAGAAGGAGTTAACTCAACCATCAATTCTCTTCATCATACACAATTACATCTCAGATACACTGAATTGACTAAAAGTGACCGCTAAGCATTACATGGAAAACCATATCTCACCTCACCAAAGAGAAGAATTAATGTCACTGAAATCAGAATAGCACCCCAAGCCGTGACAAGAGCATCAAGAAAAATAGGAAGCGTCTGAAAAATACAAAGTTATTCCAAAGAATAAAAACAAGATTCTTGGGAACATTAAGATTACATTAAAACAAGGTCAAGTTCCCTAATAATTACCTCCATCGCAGCTGCATTGCATATCAGTAAAGTGCAAAGCAACAAATGCTGATTCTTCACAACTGGCAATATCTTTTCTACAACAAGCAAAAACACACTTGTGAGAGACAAATTCACAGATAGAATCTCCAGAAAATGCATCAATACATATAAATTTATCAATTTGAGGACAGGAAAAATACTTGCTAAATTAAATTCTAAGTTCTGTTTATTCGAGAATTCAATCAAGACCCAGTTTAGGAACTAAATTAACATGTTTAATCAAAGAATTAGTAACTAAATCCGAGAATGAAACACACAGAGAGAAGCTCGTGACGTTCTACACCTACCAAACACATGTGAGAGATTCCAAAATTAAAGCACGTTTAAGCATCAAGTGCAAAGAATAAATAATCGGGAAGAAGGTGCAAGAGAATCAAAATCAAGGAGATTACCAGCATGGTTACGATCTCTGGGTGTGCCGGATTTAGCAAGAACCTCAAGATCAACGAGACTCATGGACATGAGACCCAAGGTAAGACCAGACATTAGTCCAGCGAACAAGACTAGCAACACTATCACCACGATGTGTATGAAGAAGTTGGTCTCGCAGCATTCATACTCCACGGCCATTTACTACCAAATCAGAAATCGGAACCCTAATCCTCTAACGTCAGAGCATCACGTACGGACAAAATCGACCGTTCTGGAAGCTTA